ATAAATCCTAAATCCTGAACCCTAAACCCTATACCCTAAACCCTGAATCCTGAACCCTACAGCCCAAACCCCAAGCCTTAAACCCTACACGCGAGACCGGACCCCTCCAGGGCCCTTCAATAGAGCCCTTATAGCCCTTAATAGTGGGTATTTAGGGTATATTAGAGGGTAGTTGGGGGTCCGGGCCTAAACCCTAAACCTTCCAACAAAAAGCAGAAACCATAAACCCTAAACCCTAAACTTTCCAAGAAATGCATAGCAACCTTCAACCCGCCCTCTTCTCGAAGGACGAAGAAGACCGGCTTGGGTAAAGAGGCTGTTTCTCGACTTCTGGGTCTGGTTTTAGGGTTTTGTTGTTGGTTTGAGGGGCTCCGTTTCGGGATCTCGGTTTAGGGTTTAGGGTTTAGGGTGTAGGATAAGGGTTCTATAAGAAGGGGTTAGGTAAGAAGTAAGAAGTGTACTATAAGAAGGATTCAGGATTTAGGGGCTTAGGTAAAAAGTACCTGCAGCCTTAAAAAAAAATGGAAGGCTAAGACCCCTAATAGCATCACGATCACGTGCAGTGTTGCGTTTAGCTTAGGTTGAGGGTTTAGGGTTTGGCTTGAAGCTAAACTCTAGACAAACACTGCTTTGCAGCAGTCCCGCCCCCAAGAGGGCCCAAAACCTTGTTCCAATCCGGTAGAGGACCGCAAAATACAAGCCCTTTATAGAACCCTCTATCGAACCCCGTTCTCATTATTAAGGCCCTTATACTACCCAGAACCTCAAAACTTTACCCCGCAAACCCTAAACCCTAAACCCTAAACCCCTAAACCCTAAACCCTAAACCCTGCTACGACGTTCTATCCCTAGAGCAAGGCAAAGTCTGATGATGAAGGCCCTACGAGTAGCCCTTATTATGATTTAGGGTTTAGGGTGTTAGAGTTTAGGGATTAGGATTTAGGGTTTAGGGTATCCTGAATGGACCCCTTCCGAGGCAAAGAGCAAAGAGAACCTGAACCGACAACCCAGTGCCGACATGTCCTCGGCGACGCCGCAACTTGGTTTAGATTTAGGCTTTAGGGTTCCTTCAGGGTTTTCTAAGGGTTCGTTAAAGGGCTCCTGCAATGGCTCTCAAGAGTATCGGGTTTAGGGGTCTGGGGTTCAGGGTGTCTAGGTGTGGATGTCTGCTTTCTTTGTTCGGGCGGGTGGACTACAGGGGGTGCTTTAACATTGGGTTTTGGGCCGAAACCCTAAACCCTAAACCCTTAACCCTTAACCCTTAAACCCTAAACCCTAAACGGATCTTGAAGATTTGCTGATGTGAGGGTTATTGGCTCAATCGGGCTCCTGTGGTGTTCCTTTGGGTTTAGGGTCTGGGGGTTTAGGGTTTAGGAGTTGAGGTCAGTTTTGGGTTTGCCGTTTACTGCTCAGCAGGCTTCTTGCCAATTGTCCTTTAACCTATCCCTGCTAGATCCTGAACCCGAATCTGTGCTATCCGAAAACCAAACAATCGAGGCTGGAGTACGATTGCTTGCGGAGGCCCGAAGAGGACTTGTCTACTGTTGAAGGATTCCTGTTGGCGATACAGAAGGTCCTCAGGATCAAAGTGGGAGGCCTTTTATGGCTGGGAATCCCCTGCTCGAGCTTCTGTTGGGTATCGAAGTCCATTCATGGAAGATCTGCAGAGAATCCACTAGGCAACGACTACGAGTCCGTTCGCAAATCCAATCCCAAGCAAAAACAGCCAGGGAAAGGGGGGGCACATCTCCCACTCACATGTGTGTGAACAGGGCCCCACCACGCGATGACGACTATGAGCCCGACGACACATACCCCAACTACGGGGCTATGCCAGCCAATCTTATTGCCAGCAGAGCGATATTACTGCTATTGTTGGCAGTCTCCAGAGGAGTATTCTGGTTTGTGGAACAGCCATCTTTGGCTTATGCAATGAGCTTGAAGACGCACGAGCCGAAACTACCCCATACCTTTAAACCCTAACCCGCAACCCTATAACTCAACGGACCAAAATCACGCGAACCTGCAGGGTTAGGGCACCTTGCATGAATCCTGACTGCGAACAGGACCTGTCCACAACAGAATACTTAAAATCAAGCCCTAAACCCCTAAGTTACTGGACCCCAAACCCCACTAAAACCCTAAACCCTAAACCCTAAACCCGAACCCCAAACCCTAAACCTTAAACCCTAAACCCTAAACTCCTAAACCCTAAACCCCTGAATCCCAAACCTTTATACCCTATACCCCAAACCCTAAACCCCAAACCCTAAACCCTAAACCCTAAATCCCAAACTCTAAGCCCTATACCCCAAACCCTAAACCCTAAACCCCAAACCTGAATAAACCCT